ATTCACCCTCTTTCTTTTCATTTTTTTCTTTCCTTTGCAAATGTGCGCCCTTTTCCTTCATCCTCAAGACGGCATGCAACTGAGTACAGAAACTATCCTCATCTGCAATAACTTTATCTCAACCATTACTCATGTGAAAGGAATCATTTGTAATTTGCATTTACAAAGATGAACAAGTGCTAAGACAGATACAGGACAGTTCAGTAGAGTATGCAAAGATTTGAACTAGAAGGTCATGTATTTGATTAATGCCTAGATTGCACTGACAGCAGGCTCTACCAGTTCCTTGAATTCCTCTAATTCAAGACCATATAAACTTTGGTTCTGCTACTATACAGTAACCAACCACTGCCTGGAAATACTTTGGGAACCTTCTATTCACCTCTCCTATGCTAACCGGATCCCTTCTACATTAGTTTACAATTTGGGAGTTCTCAGTCACAGCACCATGAGGGAGATGAATTTTTGTAAGAGCTTGTGACAAACAGAAAAAGCCATTAAGGGACATACTAGTACAACAGACTGTAGTAGACTTCTGTGATGCTGCCAAGTGCGAGCAAGATCAAAAACTCTTACCTTTCTAGCGGTTTGGTTTTTAAACTTTCATCTACTTCGGTGGCTTTGCCAGCAGTATGTCAAATTCACCAAAGGTTTAAGTGTTTATCAGGTAAGGACCTCAAAACTAGCCACCTTATTGCCAGGAGAAGCAAAACAACTTTTTTCTTCTCCCAGAAAGTAAACCATGCTGATACTATGTTATCAGTATTTTGGAGATGTCTCAAGCGATATATCAAAAAGTATTAGGCCAGTGTGCAGGGACAATCACTGAACATTTTTATTAATCACCATAGAGATGATAAAAGTACGGGTTTAACATTAGTTCAAATTGCTGTACACTTCAAACACTTGACTTGTATCCATGTAGAAACACGGACTGTTGATGCAAATTAAAAAACGTCCTTAACGTTAACAGAGGACGAAGCTTCTTAGGTGCTCAATTCAAAGTTCCTCTTCCCTACAAACACAAGGCTTTATATAGCAGAAAGTAATTCTCCACATCTGTTTATGAGAACACACCTCTCCAAGAGGTATGGAATAGCTCTGGGGTCCAACACCCCCCGGGGGGCACAGCCCACACATACCTGCTTGACTTCGGCTTGCAGGTGGCGCAGCTGCACGCACTGCTCCAAGTGCTTGCGGTGCTGCTCGGCGGCCACGTCCAGCTCCTGCTGCTTCTCGTGGAGGAACTCCAGCAGATCCTGGACACGAGTTGCCATGTCTACATCTCTGTCACAAAGCAGCTCAACACCTGTAACCAGCCAGTCATTTAGATAATACTTCCAAGTCTTCTGAAAACAAATAGCCCATTTCGACTCTTTTACAATTATTTTTCCAGTTCTTTCTCAAAGCTCAACTTAATCCTCAGAGCATTTGCTTAAATAAGCACAGGTTTTTGCACTCTTTAAAAATGCAATATTAACTTTTTTTTTTAAAAGAAGCCTGAGATTTACCCTAGGTGACTGTATACAGTCAAAACCATCAAGCAAAGGGGTATAAGAAACAAAAAAGGAAGACTTATTACTTGAAAGTTGGAAATCTTGACTTGACTGCATCTCTCTGATTAACTGTAAAATTAACTCCCTGCTATTTACTCTAATTTTACTGACTTCTGAGTGGAATCTCTTTCTTTAAAACTTAAACATCTTCAGGTGTTGCCAACTCTTAGATAAAAATTATGTGCCATAATAACAGTATATTCTCATGAATGCTATCAAAAGATTTGAGTACAAAGGAAAAAAAAAAGTCCACGTCTCCAGTTTACAGTTAACCACCACATCTGTTATTTTCACACATCCCATGGACAGACAACTGGATAATTCTTATAAAGCCACTGCCTGAATAGCATGAAGGAGCCATCTTACCAGATGCCTGCACTTCATTGACATACTGCAGCAGATCCTGCCCTTGGTGGATGACATCAAAGGTCAAGTTATTCATGGTCAGGGCTTTGTCCGCATGATGCTGGAGCCTCTGTTCTGCTATTGTAAGATCTTCAGTGTCAAAGTCATTCATCTGCTGAGAGAGCTCATCATTCCAAGACTCAAGGTCTGAAATTATCTGTGGGAAAAAAGGAGGAAGACAATGTTCAAATACCCATTACACAACATATTTCCAATGTTTCACTTACCACGGAGGTCAGGAACTTGAGTTGCTCATTGTTGACTGACTTCACTGATCAGGTTTGACATGGTTCAGACATAGGTTGTTCTAGCATGGATTTTAAATTTTGGCAAACAATCCAGAAGAACCTCTCTGAGAACCACTACAGCTCTCCTTCAACCAGTGGTTGCAATACTATGGGTATCCTTTCCTTGTTTAAGGTACTCCTTCATGAACCCATCACTTGTGAAACAGATGAAGTTCAAATGTTTTTACCTCCACTCTTAAAGGAAAATGTTGATCTAAAACATGTTTTCAGTTCTTCAGACTGCACTAAGTAATAATTCACACATCAAGAGCCAGCTTAGCTTTCAATTATGCCAGTCTCAAGCCCTTTTACATAAAAGCCAGCTCTTCCCTTCTGTGAGCAGGAAGCGTCAGGCTTTGTGAGCGCTTTTGACTTTTGCCAGACAACTGAGAAGCACTACTTGTCACAAAAGGCAGGGCACTTAGTGAATGGAGCAAAATCAAAAAGTATTATTTTACTGCACTATTACTGTAAGATCAGAGAGAAATTTGTCTGCTGAAATCATTCAGCTACACTTCAGTTTAAACTTTAATTCTGGATTTTACTCTCAATTATAAGATGTCCAAAGAAGGGTAGCTAAGGAAGTTGTTTTATTTTTTTTTCTTTTACACATGTATTACAACAGTAAGTCCTTGTTGTCTGTCCACACAAGTGCATTTTCCAAATCATATTGCAAAACTTGGTTGAAATGTAAAATATTCCTTTTAATTAGGACACAAAACTGTTTTTAAGTCTAACAGATAATGCTTACAATCCTCATTGAGCAAAATGGGTTGAGTTCTTATGGCACAGGTTTGATGTATCAGTTACTTCAAACAAGTCTGACACACTTATCCCCCAAGCCTGCAATCAATTTTTTTTCAGAATTTTCAGCAGAGGTTTTCCACAAACTACTGCAGTTCAGTGGGAAAGCAAAATTATAGATATCACGAACCAAGTATGGCTTAGCTCCAGAGTTCTAGGATTTCAGGAGCAGGACAAACTGATGTGAATGGTGCTGAATGACAAGAAAACATGTATTTATGCAGCAAGATACAACAAAAAGAGGATCCGACTAAATGGGTATTAGCAACAAAGTAGCCAACTGCATAAATATTTAACTGAAATCATTTGTCATCAGCAAAAGGAATATGCCACTATGCTTTCCAAGCGGTTAATCAGTGCTGTGAAGTTACTGAGACAGTTAAACTACAAGAGAAATTCCAGGAAAATAAGCCTTCTAGAAAAGGCAGAATTGAGGAGAAAGTAAAGTTAAATCATCTAAATAACTTTCTGTACTCAACTACAACCTTTCTTGAAGGCTTGTTTCCATTCTGCTCACATGGCACCATAAAAAAATGTATGCATCAAGCAATTATTACTAAAATTGTGGCATCAGTGAGTTACTTCCTGTTTTAAAGATGTTCTGCAAAAATTTTACTTGATTCACTAAGTATTCAAGTTTTGCACCATGCCACGATGGGAGGTACCAAACAATTAGGGTAGCTATTTGCAATCTCTAATCCTGATCAGGTGGCTCTACCAAAGTGAAAACAGGCAGAAGCTCCTGTTTCAGGGGTAACACTGAAAACAGAAAAGTTGATGGACAAGGGATGCAGGAAGATACACAGGACAAGGCTTTTAGCCACTGCTTAAAGCTTCTTTAATCTCTTTTCCATGTGCTCTAAACATCACACACACAATCTATTTACACACTATCAGTGGTTTCCCCTCTAAACACACACACAGGCTTCCCCTCCCACAAAATCCTTTCCAACTTCCCTTTATTTCCCCTTTCCTTGGTCCATGCCCAACATGTCCTATCACCTCTCTCTGCTCTTCATTTCCTTTTAAACTGACCTGAAATATTTCAGAAACTTCAAGCCTTCCTGACAGTCCAGCCTGAGAAACCACCTATTTCCAGCTACCCCCCTTTTCTGCTGACATGCACCTCAGACCTGCTCTTCCCAGCTTGTCTTCAAAACTCTGTGTTCGTTCATTACTAACATTTGTTTCTTCAAATCATCCACTGTCCAACGGAAGTTCTCACAAATCAGATTTACCATCTTATTTTCATCCAGTTCAGTTAACAACATTCATAAGTTACCCTTAAGAAGTAACTGTAGTTAGACTTAGTCAAACTCAGAAATGTGAGCATTAAAGAAGGCTGTGAAACTCTGCCGTCAAAACATTATCTTCCTAAACACCATTAAATGTGGATTAAGAATTATCATGGCACATTTATGCCACTGTTTTAAAGGCAAAGCCAGTCCATCTCCCTTCAGAACAGATGCCAAAACCTTACCTCTCTTACTAGCAAGTTGAGTGGAAATAAAGTAACAAACATCATAAGCTCACAATAGGACATTGCTCATTGCTGTGGCGAAGTGTCAGTATTTTTATAACAATGGAATAGTTTAAGTAGATTGTAGTCACTATGTCCTCTTAGACTATGTGGAGATTCACTGTACCCGATACGAAGAACAGGTAGTTTTAAGAAGTCAGCACTGTGTCACCTCAGCCAGAAGTTTCAGTGACACTGCCTCCAAAGAACTGCAATGAACAACAGTAAGAATTGTAACTTTTTCCCATGTTATTTCATGCAACCTTAAGGCAAAGATCATGGCCCCACACATCGTTTAAAGCAGTCTGAAACACTCTGTACAAGAGCAAGACATTCCCTGTCCCCTTCAAAAGACCAGGAAGCCCATGACTCAAATAAATAATGCCAGCATGGTCCCATGCTCATTCAAAAGATAAGTCAGTGAACAACAAAGCTGAGGTTCCTAAAAAGGTCAGTAATCCTTACATTTTTTCAGTATTAATTAGGTGGCACAAGGTGATCTATTTCAGCCATTGCACCCACTGTGCAAATCTGAAATGCATTGAGGGTAGAGCTAAAACAAAAATAACATGCACTAAGCCCTCTCTGCCCACACTCTTCAGTGCTTCCCCTGAAGTTCTGCTTTACAAGCAACACTTTTAGGGGGAGCAGGCTCCTGTTTTGTTTGTAAAGTTTTGTCAGGACAATTAGCACTAAACAAACAGAACAAAGATGAACGACTAATAGACATCTAAAGTAACTGAATCGCAAATTAATACCGCTCTCAGGAAATGGACAACCCAGCATAAACAAAGGGTAACTACTTACCGTAGCATGTGTTCAAGAAGTTCCTAGTGCAGAGTCTGAGCTGCCTGACATTCCTAGGTTTTAGCAAATGTAAAGGTAACACTGACAGGAAACAAGGCAGGGTACAACACAGAAGGGATGCGGACTCTTTCGCACTGAGTGGGAAAGAAATAAAGAACCACAGGTCTCTTCTCAGAAGGGTCTAACTAGCATTCCTTGTACCAACTGAGTGCTAACCAGGACCTTGAAAATATTATGTGCTGGGGAGAAAGAAAAATGGACAATGGAAAAGGGAGAAGAGTTAGGTCTCTGTGATCCAGCACTTTGCATCCTTGCCTTTCCAGCTGTATGACTTAAGAGGCATCTTGTAAGTATGGTCCAAAAATAGAGTTGAGATAAAGCTGTGAGTTGAAAAGTGTGTGGTATGCTTTGTGTGGAGGCCTGACACAGGCCTTGAGGCATTTAAGTTACAGACAGGCAAAAATGCACAGACACAGATGCGAGAGACACATTTTAGGCTGTATACATTGCCACCAGCGTTACCTTCCCACTGGCTAGGTCCATACACATCTTCCTTAAGCTACTCATCACCCTAGCAAGAGACTCTTTTCGTATATTATTTTGTTCCTTCTTGCCTTTAGTTAAAACAGGTGTTCACAACAGAGTCCTTCAAATAGCTCATGACCAATGGCACTTAAAAGCCTACAGAGGATAGAGAAGGTCAAGTTTAAAAACCAAGAGCAAAGGGCAAAACAAGAGATAGTGCTGCAGTTACAGCAATTTCAGAAGAGCGGGAGAATCTGAAAGGTTATAGAATAAATGACAGCAACTAAAAGAAATAGAGTATTTTATCAGCGAATAATAAGGGAAGACTAAGGACAAGAAGAGGAGTAACACTGCCAGCAAATCTCACCACTGTCCCCAGAACCACAGCTGCATGGTACGACCCTGCAGTGCTAGGGGAACCCTTTGTCCCGTTTTAGCCCATGTTATTTTGCAAGCAGTAAGACAAGCTAGAAACACTACTTGCCTTCCAGAAAAACTGTCCTCACAGGATGCTTCCCTGAGTGAACTGCCCCTACAGCCAAGTTTTAATTGACTGGACCAATCACACAAAATCCTCGACAAAGGAGGAGGTCAAAACAAGGTCTGCAAGTTCCTAGCTGGCATCTGGCTCCTCCTCACTATCATGTTACTTCAGCAGAGCTTCTGCTTTCAAACTGACCTGGAGCTACTCCCTGCATTTTCTTCCTGGAAGTTTCCGAACAGATGTCTGCCTCCAGGGCGAGGGAAAAGAGAAGCATGCTTTGCTGAGGAAGCAGAGAGAGGTCTTGGTACAGAGACAGCATATCAACAAAATACACTAACTTCTTCAATAAGGTAATTGATACTTTGCTTTATGTTGATCTGCCAAAGTGTCAGCTTTAGAGAAAGCAAGATCTGTCAAGTTAGGGTTTGCAGCTTTCCAGTGCAAAATCCTAAGGGCATCACCAAACAACATACACAGAAGTACTACTATCCTTATAGATGCTGTCCTGCACTGAAGGACTAGAACACATCTGCAAAGCAGGGCTCCTGCAACCAGCCTTCTCCTATTGCAGAATCCTGGTTTATGTAACCTACAGCAGAGAGCAATCACCTTAATCATGAACTCCACTCAAACCTTTAACCTAATACTTCCACTAATTTTCTTGGTATGCCTTGTCCCCAACGGCTGCCATTTCCTCAGAAAAAAGTGTTCTGACAACATCACATAGATATTGAGCACTGCAGATCATTTCTGCAGAGATCGTAAAATTGCCGACAATCCTATAGAAGGGGATATCTTTTATGTTCCTCCACATACACCACTGATCCAACTAATGATTGCAATCACAATTCTGCCAAAATCTTTCCCTTGCATACTCAAGACAGCTACTCTCACATAATCAAAGTAGCAAACTCTCTGCAGACTACTGTGAATTGCAAAACAGAGAACCTTCTTAGCCTTCCCTTACACCACAGCTGTTACTACTGTAGAGCGCACACTCTCACTTCCTCTATGGGCACGGATCAAGGAACTGTGTCTGCCTAATTCCCGCACTGCACCTAACAATGCGCTTAGCTAAACCACACTTCAGCAATGGTATCTAATCCTGATTTTAAGGAAAATAAAACCAAAAAAAACCCCCCAAAACCCCAAACCTAATATCACTTCTGCTGCTGCCTCTTTTCCCCTTACATCATTCATACCTAACCAACAGTTCCATCTTTTACTACATACAAGCGAAGGGGTAAAATTATCAGTTTCCAGAGTCTCGAGATAAGCCATTATATACTCAAACAGGATCATTTACCAATGGTTAACCCTGAACCTTCTGAGGCACCGACTCAGTTTCAGTCACTGTATACAGCACTAGTGGGTTTACAAAAATCATACGAACATAGCTAGCAGCTTTATAATGCAACTCTATTAACTGAAGCTCCATGTCAAGTTTCATGTCTGTTTGTATACATGTCCCTGCACATGCACAGTAACTTGCAGACTGATAAGCTGTAACCCTCCTCCAAAATGCGGACAGTCTCAAAACTTCCTGAAGTTTTGCAGGGGTATGGCACTACAACTGCTTTTGCACTATTTTCAGAGGTGGAAAATAATCTTATTTAAAAAAAAAAAGACAACCAGCCCACACAACATCACTGAAGATCAAAACAGAATTCCAAACACCACTTTTGCAGTTGCCAACTGAAAAAAAGACTGCGATTTGGAAAAGAAAGAGAAGAGGGGTGTTACTACAAAGCAACAGTTCAGAGTTGTACTAAACCATCTTGCAAGTCTTATTCATATTAACTGTAAGTATACTAGTTATATCAAGGTAGCTTGATATCCAAACCAAACTTACCAGGTGAAGAAATTGGCACATTACGATTTTACAAGACACTTGCTTAAAGGTGCCCTGGGAGCCAATCAGAGTTTGAGTTAATATCAAAAAGCTCAGCTCTGCACTCTCCTGACACTTTCACATACAAGACAAAAGCCTTAGTTCAGGTCAGAATCTGTCAGTCATTTGAGCCATATGCCAATGCAACTACACAGCAATCTCAGCATAAACATTCCTACACAAGAGGCTAAGTGCAGTGCAACTCCAAGAGCAGACACTCACATCTATTGCATCTCTTTCAAATATGCGGAGCTGCAGAAACAGCTCAAGCTTGATCTTGCGTTCTTGAAAAAGCTCCTCCATCTGAGACTGGGCCTCATCCAGCTGTTGCAGGACTGTCTCTATGTGGTTGATCGAGCTGTTATGGGGCGTCTTGTTACTAGAAATGGCAGAATCCCTATTCAAAGTAGAGAGAGAGGGAAGAGGAAAAAAAAGAAAAAGAAAAAAGAGTATTATTAAAAAAATAAACCACATGCAATTTGGATGCTATACATGACCACCAAATGTAAGACTGTTTCAGATACGGGCAGTGCAACCTGTATTACATGAAAGCTAAGTCTGCATGTCCTTGTTAACAGAAGTCCAGATTACGTTTTAGTACTTGAAAAAGCATTAGGAAATTAGATTACTTTTATTTTTTGACTAATTCAACATTTAAGGACATTCTGTTTACAGGAAGAATAACATTTAGAACCAGAGACAAACTCTTTTATTGTGAAAAGGAAGTGGCATATGATAACTATTTACTGACCCTTCTTGGTAATGAAAAAAAAAATTAGATAACAAAAAGAAATTACTTAATCTTACCTTTAGTATAAAAACTTGTAAATTAAGATACGATAATATCAGCTCCTGCAGTAAAGGGGATATGAACCAGTGCAGCTGGGGTCTAAATCTATTTAGATTGTTACTGAATGAAATGCACTGCAAACTGATGGTCCTTACTACAGTAAAGTTACTTATCAGCCTGCAAAACAATTTCAAGTGGCTCTTTATTAAAAGGTTGCTGCTCAGAACTCAAAATGCTGTGAATCCCTGTGTGTCAGACTACAAAGACATACGACTGCTCCTATCAAAAAAGGTTGTTCATGTAAATAAAATCTCCTTCTTGTGGAGGTAGTGTTTATAAGCTGAGCTTCCTGTAAACAGAGGGTTAGAGACCATCAGTACAGCATGAAGCATCATTGTAATCCTAAGATTTACAAGTTTTATTTATAGGTCATATCTTGCAGTCATCATCTCTACTCACAAAACAGAAAGAGCCCCACAGAATATCAGACATACACCAGAAGAGCTTTAAATAAAAATTTGTTTTACCTTAGTTGCTGTATAAGATCTTCACCTTCTTTTATGACATTGACTGTAACCTGCAGAGTGGTCTGTTGTTGCTGACCAAAACGTTTAATCAGGTCTTGGACAGCCTCCACAGATTCAGCATAAACATCATCAAGCAGTTCTTTCTGTAGCTCTTCAAGCCATGTCCACAGCTAAAGGAGAGAGGCGGGGAAAAAAACAAGAACCAAAACGTAAGCCCCAGGATCAGGCAGTCACTATTCCAAATCAATCTTCCTGGACAAGAGATAACAGTCTGAGGTGGGGGAGAGAAACAGGATTTGTTTTTCTTCATAGAAAAATCCCATCCTCAATTTAATGAGAACGGGCCTTTCTTTCAAATAAGGGTTTCTCTTCTTGGAAATACCAGGAAAGCTTTACCCGTGTTGCTAAGTCACCCTTTCTTTCCCATTTTCCTTCTACAGTACTGAGTGTATCCGACTGAGCAGCACAGAGTTCATAGCGAGAATCCCATCTGCGGCTCTGCGCGAGAGTCCCTGGGAGGGAAATGCTATGGTAACACTCCCCGAGAGAAGGGAGGAAGGAAGGAAGGAAGGAAGGGAGATGTATTGTAGCCACCATCAAATTTACACTGCCAGGCCGACATGCACACAGACAACATAACGCTTTTCAGTGGCCTTCAAAAAAAGGAAGAAGAAAAGGGTATTTCAGAAAATAAAGTAGAGATAAATCAGATGTGAGAAGTTATTTTCCTATTGTGATCTCTACAGCTACGGTGTTTACCCTCTTGATTTCAGTTTTGCACTATTACAACAAAAATCACCATAAGTAATTCCAGTAGTTAATTCAACGTTTCCCCCCCCACTTAACACATGCACATACCCCTCTTCAGAACTGCCCACGCACCGCAGCTTACGCAAAAATCCCTACGTACATGCTAGCTAGGTATCACCACTGGTCACTTGAACCCTACTGTGTTCTTTTCCACAATTCTACGAGGCAAGCTGTTGCATCCTAAGCACTGCGTGAAAATTATTAATCAGCAAAACATTAGCCATCTATTGTGCACGTAATAAAACCACCGCTTTAAGAGAGGGAGCACGGCTGTCTCCTGCAGCACTCCTGTGAGCAGCACTAACAGCACGGTGAGACAGCCGCTCTCACAGGAAGCGTTCAAACCGGGTACGGCCTCTCTATTGTACCATCACATCCCAAATGCTGTGATTCCAAGAACAAGGATTAGAATTTAGTTTTTATCCTGAAAGAATAACTCTGATCTGATTGAAAGTATTAAGGTCTTTTGACTACATTCTAATCTCTGCCTTTATACATTTTAGACACAAATAGGCTTTATTAACTTCAAGCCTAATTAAAAGGTTAACATAGTTAAAACACAGACAGTAAGAAAAAATGGCTTAACTTCAAAAGACAGAGAAACAAATGTCTTCTTTATTTGTTTGCTTAACATTTTCTACAGAAATACCCATTTCATGCTGCTGTTTGTATCTGATCATAAAGGTTTCCTAACTACCAAAAGAGCTACATTACAATAGAAAATTTAGTAAAGGTTCTAGATCTTGATTAATTGGTGCCTTTGAAGCTTTATTTTAAAACCAAATGCTAGTTTTCATATCTTAGAGCCTTACATGCTTCCTGAGGTAGGTTTTGACTTAATCAAGCTATAGGCTAAATTTTCACAATTGGGAAGAATTCATGACATTTAACCAGACTCACTTCTACAAATCTACTACCCCCCCAAAGGGAACTGCATATTTATACATAGTTATTTTGACTACTCATATGCTTCAAAGACAATGCCTGTCTCAAATTTGAATGCAACTCCATAGCTGTAAACACTGCAGGTTCAAGCCACAGCAGTCTTTCTTATTAAAAGGGGCACAAATCAACAGAACTTACCAAGTGGGTCAAAAGCACTCATCAACATTCATTCCAGCATAACTCAATGCAGCATTCAATTTTTATTTTTTTTTTCCGAAATGCATCCTTAGGAATGCAAATTTCACTTCAAGATAAATAAAACTTAAGAGCAAGAAGCCTGACAATACAACCTGAAAACTTTACTCAGGTTTCAATGCCCAGAGGACATGTTTTTATTCCTCTCTTAGCTTATGAAGTTTACGGCTAAACCATAATAAGAGGGCACCATGTTAGAGACCTTCCAAGTGAGCTGGTGCATGCACACAAGCAGTGCAGCTTGCCACTGTGCAAATATATTCATTTGAGAGTAACACTTCACTGTTGCCTGCAGATCTAATGTGTTTGGTGCTGGCTAGAAGCCCTCTACACTCCATGATTAATGCATTGTCTATAAAAGGCCCAATTTTCAGAGATGTCTATCACAGACAAACTGGGATTAAAACCATTTTGATTCTCTTGGACTATATCAAATCTGCCCCTTAGCTTCCTTGCAAGCACCTGTACTGCAGCTCAAGACACGTCTAAGAACCACTTCAATTTTTTCCAATACATCTTTTGCAACTGGGTTGTGTCAGACGTACAGAGGACGCCTCACCTCTGCATTTCTTATTCTCCACAGATGCTTCAGCCACGTCTATAACTGGGAGGAGAGGACCTGGCAGGAGCAACAAAACTCAGAAGCGCTGGGCTGGTGATGTACTGTGCATGCGAATACTTCCCTTAAAGCTCACCCTGGGTGCTGGAGACCAAGCCAACACAGAACAAGCAGACCTTTCCCTCTGCGTAGCCAGTTCAAAGCAACACTTGCCTAGAGCAGAAGGATATGGGCACTAGCACAACAAAGGGTTATGCCGACTGGCTTAGTGCCTGGTCAGCACGGCATGATCATAAGCATGGTATCTCACCCCCAAGGTACCAAAGGGCTCAAAAATACATTGCATTTGCCTAGTTCGTTAGCTGAATTGCCTACTGGTTGGGAAGGAAAAACATTTTACGAATGTGCAGAAAGAGAAGGAGAGTAATTAGTATGCATTACTTGCCCAGCTGTGATTCATATGCTGTTGAAAGTGGAACAATTTAAGCCATTTCTGAAGTGACTAAACAGCTCTGTGACACTTCCATAGCAAAAGTTACTCTAATATATTACCAAATAAGCTTTTTACACTTTTCCACCAAGTGAGTTTTTGAGAAATAGCTTCCCCTCAAAATAACCTCGATGCTTATACACAGAAGTTAGAATAAAGCCACCACAGATGAACAAAACTGTCAGGTTATTAAAGCTGGGTAGAAGTTCATGCAATTTACTGAGAGGACCTTAATTCATAATGGGTGGCAATAGCCAGCTGGCTTATATACAGCTTTAAAAACAGAATGAGCACTGGACATACTAGAAATGACATAAATTACCTTGTTTTCAGATACAAAACTAAGGATGAAGACAGTACAAGGTTGCACAGCAAAGCCAAAAGAAAGCGAACAGTTTACAGCAGGGGATGAACAGAGACTGGAGCTTACCCATACGCATTCAGCAGTGCAGAACTGCAGATTTTATAGTGCAATGACTTTCTAAGGTAACTCATTATTCCATAAGAGAGAGCTTGGCAACAAAAATCCAGTGGGAGGAAAAAAAAAAAAAACAACACCACAAAACAAACTTGTCATTAAAAAACTATTCACTTTCTCGTGGTGTGAACTTTTGAGGACCTTCCAGCCATGTTTTTTCCTATTCTCTGTAAAAGCAGCAGCACAAAGATCCCTAAACAAACCACCGAGTCCTGTGACCTCAGTAAGAATTTTATCCAGCAGCAAGACAGTTCTAACATACAGAGAGAAAACCGTATAAATAACTCAATCCAGTCACAGGAGGCAGCTCTCTGCTCTTTTCATCCGCTCTTCACATCTTATCAGAATTAAAATTGGAGAGGGAAATCAAATTCTGAATCCCTGACAGGCAAATGTTTCACCCAGCAGATTTTTTTTCTTGATCTAAATATAGCACAGACTAAGAAACATCTGCTTGAACAAGCCTGCATCCTGTGTTACCTCTTTCCTAAGTTCTTGGGAGCATGCCATTAGTCACTGAGATGGTATTATTTTAATTGTCTGCAACATCCTGGAAGTTTCAGTGTTTCCATCATGGGCCTCTATCCATTTAAGACTCATCCCGGCAATCTCCTGAAAGACTGCAGCTAAATAAGACCCTACTGTATTTTGCTGAATATAATCAGAGAACAATTATTTTTCAGTAAATACCTTCCCAAGTGCACAGAGTTCTTTTATTAGGGTAAAATGTCCATCACACTTGTTCATAATTTATTTTAATTTCATTTCTATAATAATTTTGAATATGCAGTCAGCCTTTTCAGCAGGCTAAGACAGAGAAAGGCACAGTTTCTGCACGTAAAAAATGCCGATTCCTCTTTCTGCCCCTGCCCGTCAGCAGTGTTACAGTATGTGTATTACCACAGGCACAGTTGTTGAAGGAGCTATTATTTGTACAGGGCCAAATGTTGCAATAGTATTCCCTAACAAGTATATCGGGGAATAAAAAGGGGCTGGTGTGTGCCTGTAAGCTTTGGCTTTCAGGACATGCGGTAGACAAAAACTGCATCTTTTTAAAAACAAAAATTGTAAGGTGTTACACCCCCCCGAGTTTGTCTTCCAGAGTCTTTCAGTGACATTCAAGATATTAAATGCATGCATATTTTTTGAAAATTAGGTATAATTATTTTTTAAAGCTTCAAATGTCCCTATCTATTCTACGGTTATAATGAAATCAATTTCCTATTCAGAATAAATTCATCCTTGAAGCGAAATGAAGTTTCACACATCTTCTAAAATTACATCTACTACTACTACTACTACCCTGTTAGCATTCATCCCATTTCTTAACTGAAGAAGACAAAAATGCCTATACCATAGCTTCATGCATTTACAGGCCTATTTCTGCCTCACTTCTCAAACACTTAGTGCTATTTCAGTAGTGCGTGGACTTAAATTTGATCTCTTTTTTCAAGCAAAGTAGCTACCAGCAATGAAAGACTCAAGAAAGAAAATCTGTGCTGGGTAACTGGATTCCACTCCTACCAAACCAGTAAACCACACACACACTTTACTGTGCTGCCACTGAGTATGTTTCTCTTTAAAGATTTAAAAACTGTCCTCCTGAACGCTCAGATTCAAGATAACTGGCACATCAAAGTACTGACTAGATACTGCACTTTATACATTTTGCCAGACCCATCACATTGAGCATTGCTGCACTATAATGACGTGATAATAGTATCAGAGATGCACAAAAGCCCAAGGGACGTAGCCTTCACACTTAGATGGGGGCATCCAAAAGCTGTTCTGCTGCCTGGAAAGGGCACACAGAGGAGAGAGCAGCCTTGTTATGATCCAAATTTAACCTGTAGACCACCAGCACAGAAGGTTCAAATACTCAGGAGTGACAGGTAACCAGAAGAGCAGGTTTGTCACCTCAGGGCCCACCCTGAGATGAAATGAATGAAAGGCTGCATGGATGGACACCGTTCCATACCGGATAACGCAAAGGAGGACACATTTCTAGCAGTGAGTTATGAGACAGAGCAAGACAATTATCAACAAGCTTTTGTGAATCAAATACACATGCCTCATAGCTGGATGTGAATGAATCTGCAGCATTATGGGCAGAGCAAAGCATCCTCAAAACGGTGCCACCGTCCTTCAACAGCTTGCACAGACTACTGTTTCGTTACTTCTGTTCAGGAACAGTGAGGTTTTGCATTTAGAAATCTTAGCCAATTCCACTTCCCTTTTCTTTGTTTCAACCTCAGTCTACTCTGGTGCAAAATTTAGTTTGAGTAAGACAAGAAAAAGAAAAGAGACATCTAGTAACAGTATTAAGCATATTGTGTATACATAAAAAGCACTCTGAGCTATTTTATAAACAACTTGTCAGAATACACACAAGAGTTTATATGCAAAAAGCCAACAGGCTCTTAAGAGATCACACTCTTCCACATACAGTCAAGCCTGATGTGTATTCCCACACTTGACTCCAGTTAGGAAAATATCTGTTGCTCTACTTTGGCACTACTACAAACACCTGGCTTGGCCAGGATTTCAATCTTCCCACTCACAGATGCTGAGGGAGCCATTTCGGAGAGAGTGTATGTGTATGTGTCTCTGTATGTATGTGTATGGAAGAATATGAATTCAGACCAAAATCCCGTTCATCTCTACTTGGCAATAGATTTTACAGCAAAGACTATTCTGACTCTTGCTCCTACGTTCTGCACACAACCTTTTATGATAATTGTTCATTTAGGAAATATATCTTTTATCCGTGCAATTTTTTTCTCACCTTGTCCCTCGCCCTAGTATTAAATGTGAAAAGGCACAAAAGCCATAAGGGATTCACTGTCTTGCAATGGTCAGTTTTAGATGTTCAGTTGCATTTTATCCATCCTCAGGCTGGGAACCTGCCAGGACACAGTACTTTCAATGCAAAGATTCTGATAGCGGTATTTATGGCCCCAAACACTTTCAAAGCTTGCCAGTGCATGACTTAACTTCAGTACAGCACTTACTGAAAAATTTGGCTTACACATTGAAATTTCTCACTGTTTGCACGGGAACTAAAAATCAATATTCACAACCGTACAAACTTAAAACTAGTAATAACATAACAGCATAGAATCACAATTTATATACAGCAAGCAACTGATTTTCTTGGATCACCATTAAGCAAAATGAGTAATGGCAATATCATTACATAACATCATATTTCTGGCTTCCCTGAACACATCCTTTTTTTCCCCAATGAGAAATATGTTCTATTGAGGTTAGTCCATGAGGAGTCCAAGAACCCGTACATTGTTTTCTGATGTTTATAAGCCACAAGGAGCTCTACCAGCTTATAGCCACCTGGCTACAGAGCTTCTGGAAATGTTAAAGAGCCAGCATTTCCAATGTGCATCATTAACAGGCTGCTGCACACATACTACACAGCTGCTTTGTGCACAGGTATAGCAAAAGTTTGTTACTTCCAGAACATGTCAAGTCGATCTATTGCTTTTGGGGCAAGCATGCTGCTTCTGAAAGTAGAACTGTGCTGATTTACTTGGCGCGAACAGAGTAACAGTCCAGTGCAGACACTGCAGGGCTGATGCTACCTAGGGAAGCTGGGAAAAGTTGCAGGCAAATTCTGTTCAAGTATAAAGGTTATGTAAAGCTACAGAGGAGAAGTAGTGTTGGAATGCTGTCATCCAGATGAGGAGCATTCATTCAACATGAAATATTTCTGGGGAAGAGAATAAAACACAACAAAACATCCTACTTCAAAAAATCAAGGGATTGGAATGGATATTGGAGCCAGATTTCAAAGCCTTAAAACAGCCAACAACTCAGATCACCAGGCTCTTCTCAGCTCTGTGGGTCCCTTCAAACTGTCACACGCAAACAGGGGTTTTATTCCTCATGCCTGTTTTTTAGACCAGAAAAACACAAAAAAGATACAGGAAACAAAATTCACCCTGAATAGTTGAGGGGCAAAACGCATTGGTGGCGTTTTGATTTGTTCAGAGTGGTTTGTTTGGATTTTTTTTTTTTAAACTGAAGCATCTCTTTCCAGTTCAACAACTAGCATATTATCCTACTACTTGAACTCCTCTCTTCACTAGCTAAGCATGCGCATTAATTTCTTTACTCCACCATACAGCAGAAAGGTTACGTGCTTACAGGTATGCACTGATTTATTCAGCGACTTCCCACATCCTGCAGGATGAATGCAATTCTCCTGCCAACAAAGCATGGATGACTTTCAGGTTTAGGGCATTTTTATCTTCCATCTGCTTTGTGATGCCTTCTCAGCACTCCACATGCATGTTTGATAACAAACAACATGCTCTTGAAAACAGATCAGAATACAGAAAGCATAAGACAGCTTTGTGCTTGCTATTTCTTTGCACCTTAACCACAGGACTAGTCTACTCAGTATGAACCACCTGCTTCTCCCTCATCTGTATTTTTAAGTGGAATGCAAATAAATAAAAAAATAGCCTTGGTTATATAAATAAGTACTCTTTTTAATTTCCCTTGCTTTATTAGGTATAAAGGTCAGCAACATGACAAAAACAACAAAAAAATCAACATATGTACATCAGCCACAGTACTTTCCCCCAAAGTCCAGGCTAGAAAGAGGCTGCCATATAACAGCTGTGTGCACTTACAGGGTCAAAATAATGTCCATTTTCCCAAAGAAATAAATCAAGATACAAAATATCTTTTTTTTCAATAAAACATTATTATCTAGGGAGTAGTGGCAACATTCCAGCACATCTGGATCAGCCTCCCAGAATTACTCAACAGCGACTCACAGATCAGTCTGCCTTTCAGTTTTCTGGATTTTTTTAAAGCCCTTTCCGTGCAAATCCTTTTACAGTCTCTGTCTTTCATCACTACAACCAACTGTACCTATTTAAATACCACTCCAGCCACTCTTCTCGATGCTAAGAAAAACAGGTAATGAAGAAATCTATAGGAACAATGAATATGTTTCAGCAGCTGACTGCTCCTATGCTTCACAACATGTAATGGAACAGCACTATGTGCTTGAGAGAAGTGAAACAAAAAAGTTGCCCTCTAAGAACAGCTTACGATACAGCATTTATGTTTTGTTTAAACAAGCAGAGTTCTAGGAGAATATCGGCAGGGAAGCATCTAACAGAAAACTGATGGGGGAGCTATGTACTCATGTCTAGAGCTAAAAAATTAATTCAGTCCTGACCTCCTTCAAACCAACTGCCTTGTGCATTTGTTTCAAGTGCAAAGCAGATGTTTCGCATACAAAAAAACTCCCACCCTTATCTTCTACAAGGTTTTGCTGAAGAAGCTACTATGAATACTGTACTTCCTCACTGAACAGATCATTTCTAGATATAGGGTGAAGGGAAGGAAGACAGTCTGACATGCTGTGATCCAGAAGCCTTTCATATTTTTCACCTAGTTTGAGCAGTGAGAAGATTTAACATGAGGTCTAAACAGAAAACAAGTAATCTACAGTTGTCAAAATTTGCCGCTACCTTTAACTAGAACCTCTTACTGAAGTCCTTATTCTTGCTCTAGCCTATTCCACCCTCTCCCATGAGCTTACAAATTCATATGATCTGTGTTCTGAACCGGAGCAGAAAACTGATCTGGCTGAAAATTAAGTGCGTTTGGCTGAATTTTCTGTTTCCTGGTGTATCAGTTCAACCTTTGAAGGAGACTAAAAATTGCAAACATGAGGCAAACTATTGTCACTATCAGATAAGTTCTTTAGGTTGTTAAGAGCCATCAACATACAAGACCAAAATGAAACGTGTAAAACAGAGAAAGAAAACAAAGTCTCTCCAGGCAGCAGGGTTGCCTTAAGTAGCCTTGTGCCTTTGCCATGCTTTTCAGTCTCCTGAACCATGTCAGTCTAACCATGTGTCTGACAACTCACTTAACTGCACTGGAGAGCTGGTTGGATTAAAAAAACCAAAAAGTGCACAGTATCTCCCCCTGCAATGCTGTCTTTTAGCTGTATCAGTTCCTTGATCTGACCCTCCCACCCTCCCTGTGACTGAACAAGTACGTGTACTTGTACAACAATGGAGGTAGAAGCTGCTTGTGAAGGAAGAAAATAAAATAAAAAAATAAACAAACAAACAAAACAACCACCCTACCCCAGCCCCTAATCCGCAGTGAATTACAAACCAAAACTCATCATACAATAGGAGTTTCATGACTTCCTATGGTAAGGTTCTAACAATGAAAGTTATTGGGCATTATCGGTTTCAAGGCTTAAAGTTATGATCATGACTCAGCAGCAGTTTTACCTCTTTAACGTGAGTGTGAAAGGACACAGACATGTCCAGCAAGATCTTGCGTTGCTCCACACGTCTAACAAAATCCTGTATCCTGTCTTCGAGCTGATGGGCAGCTTGATAAATCTCCTCTGGGTCACACTCCCCAGTCTGAGCGAGCTGTTCAGCTGCTTCTAGGAGCTTATCTGCATTGGTGTATGTGTTCTGTAGAGAAATAAGTTAGTTTCACAGGATTAAATGAAAGAAAATTCAGTGAGTATGTTTTAAAGCCACTTCACTAATGAAAACAGACAAAAAGGTCTTTGGAATTTTTTTTTTTTTTAAAGGTAGCAGAACATAATCTTTTGTTATATTTCTAGATACTTTTTCATTTAACTGTGAATAAATTCATTCCTTAGCTCCTTATGTATGTCTATTCAAATGTTTCCTCAATCCAGAACTTCGGAGCCTATTCATTCTTCCTTGGAATTAGTATTTTATATTCACAACTAGAACAGAGATCAGCTTAGGCTGATGTCTAATGTCTAATTACTTGCAAACTGATCTATTTCAATACTGGAAAAATCACTACTGTCATGGCCAGAAGACTTTTCAAATGTGTATTACTAGAAGTGAGAAAGTCCTAGCTGCTGGTAGAGACACTTAGCATCAAATCCACACATCCAGCAGTAAAGTGGAAAGTGACCAGGCACAGAGAAAATTTCTCTCCATCCTTACAGAAGTGAGCTATCCAAAACTGATGTGTCAAGTGGATCATCATTTGTGAAACAGCAGCAACAGAGGAAGATTTAGAAGTCAACTATGGTTGACTGTCAGAGTGGAATATCATCCCAATACGTCCTAGGATTAACAAATGCAGATCAGCAGTCCTATAAGAGACTTGGGTCAAAGCAGAAAATAGAATGGGAGAAGCCTTGTACCTGATGTGCTGAGCACGCTATGGTCCAAAGAAGAGAGCGATGTTTAACAACTCTTAAAGCTTAGAACTTGCAGCTTGCATCCATATCTTTCTCATTAACTCAAAACAGGACTGATTCCAAACATTTGCTATAATTTGAGTCCTCTTTTTGAGCCTAAATTTGGGTGTTCATGACTTAGAATGGTTCTCCAAACCAAGTCATCAAGAAAGCATAGAAGGATGTTAAACTCTGGAGAAAACAGAGTCTACAGTAAAGCGGCTTTGCTTATGTCACATCAGGTCCCCTGATAAGTTTGTACCACAGACTATTTACAAAAAAAAAAAACTCTTGACAATATAAACTGCACTTTTCTCTTTTCCCTTCTGCCCTTCCGTCTTCTCCCAACCTCAATTACGTCAGGTAAAAACACTGCTTGCCAAGATAAATTAAGCCTATGCAAATGTGTTTTTCTTTGCCATAAATATAGTATCAAACCTCTAAATAACATTACAATATCCACAAAGTCAAATCCAAGCCCAGCCCTAAAACTCAACTAAGGGGCAAGAAATAAGAGCTCTTCTCCAGGGCCTCAAGCAAATTACCAGGCAAGCTCAGGACAGATTACATGACTCAGTGCAGCTTTCATCTATTTGGGGGCAGTTCCCCCTTCACTTGTTACTATCTATTTATGTGAGGAATTAAATCCATGCTGCTCCTTGATTTTGGTTATGTGCATCTTAGTCCTTCCTTCAGCTTTCTAATTGCACTGAGAGGTAGAGAACTCCTCCCAAGTTTCCTTGGGAAAGCTTGCAAAGACCAACCTACGCCTACCCTTTTCAGTGGGGAGCACACTGCTCAACGCTCCAGATCGCTGGCTTAGGCCATGTTGGCCCAGAACATGCTCTGATCTGAGCTTTGGTGTTTGACTTCCAGGGTCGCAGTTCACATGTGTTCAAGGGGCAAGGCTGAAGAGCCTGAAGGCACTCCTCGAACAACTACTTCATCAACCCAGACAGCCACACCCAGTTGCAGATGCCTGAAACAGAAGTTTCCTATTTTAATGAAAACTTTATCTCACATGTGAAGCATTGTTTATGAATTCCAGGAGTACCTTCCATGTAACACAGGCCCAGGCACATCAGGCTTCTCCTTCTGTAAACTGGATAGTGAACTGCCTGTACTTAGAAATGATCACAACCTAGATGCTGCTTCAAAAGGGGTTGCAATTCTCAAACTTTAACAACAGACACATGCCTTATCACTAAAATTTCTCTTTCAAGTAGAGCTGAAATATAATATAAATATTTATCTTGGTAGATAATAACAGCCCTTTGGAATAGAAATTGCAGCAAATAGGTGTGCTGTACTAACTACCACCTTTCCCAACTCTCTGCTTACTTCTAAACAATGCTCAAAGGAAAAACAGTAGTAATGTGAAGATTTTCAAAATGTTGGTCCCAAGGGGCAGCCACCAGTTAGAAGGTTAGTCAGAAAGAGTTGCAGTCCTCCCTTGAAGCTGCTTATGCCAGTTTCCTAAATTGACAGAGGAGCCTTCATGGTGACAAATTCAACATAAGAGTTTTGAAACAGATTAATACGTCTTCAGAATGTCTCCACTAGCACACCCTCGCCAAATCCCAGTGGAAAAGAATCAGCCCGGTAAGAGCTTTAAGAAGTCCTCTAGTACATCCCTTTATGCCCCAAGGCATGATCAACAATATTTGAGTCTTTAATAGGCATTCTTCTCCAAAATGCTGAAAGACTCTCCTTAACGGAGAGTTTAATCACCTTCCCCAACAACATATCCCATCACTTTCCCAGTCTTCCTGTTGAGAAACCTTCTCTACATATTCTTCAGAAAAAACAAACACCGCATTTTTAGAAAGCCTATGTAGTGATAGATCACGGAAAAGTCAAAGGTTAAATTTAAGAGACTAGTGCAGAAATTAGTACTACTGACAATAAATACAGCAACAGAAGTGACTGGAGGTATGGACTGAGTTTCATACAAACTGGAGTTTACTGCACTATGGAGGGGGAAGAGAGACACACACACACACGGATGGAGAGAGATTAACAGCAGTATACAAATCATTAAAGGCAGAGAAAATTAAGATAGATTACTCATTAAAAACAGTGGATGCTATCATATTTAAGCATCAGACAACACACTTAAAATGAAAAAGTACTTTTCATCTAAGGAGCAATTACATTGCAAAACTCGTTGCCACAGGATCTGGCATACATTCCAAGAGCATAAACGGGTTCAAAAATTAGCTAGCCTAATTAAGGGAAGAAAAGTCCATCAGTGACTATTAAACACTGGTTCTGATACATCCTTCAGTTCCACATACCAAATAGGTCCAGACAACTGGGGCTGTAAAGGTAACTTTTTAAACATACAGTCCTTTTTCTTTATGCACCTGGTGATGGCCACAAGATACTGTAAAACATGGACCTTTAGCTTCATGTATTACAGTCATTCACGGGTAAAGTTAAGAACCCGTTCAAATACATAACCTTAAAGGAGGTTGGAACTGGCAGGGGTAGGGAAATTACAGGTGTATTCAAACAAGGTTTGGAAGAATCTTTCTTGTGTGTTTCTTGCACCAAGACAACTTGAGTTCTTTACTCAGATGCAGTCTGTACATGGAGAAAAGAACTTACTTGTGGAAAAAGATCCCATTAGTTAATTCTTGCCATACACCCTTGACGTTTTTTGAGCACAGACTACTGTCAAAAAGTAGACATTGATCATAGTTGAAAAAGGAGAAGCTGACTTAGAATTTCATATAAAAATGCATGGGGAAGTACAACCACACCATTGATCTGCATCCAGTGCTTCTAATCTGAAAATCTGTGCCTATAAGTGAATCAGTTATGTCAAAATTTGGAGTCTTGACACTTGGACTAAATGGCCTCACGGATACAAAGACGATCATGGTGAGAGGGGGAAAAAAAAAGAAGAAAAAAAAAGGGTAAGTAGAAAGTGAACTGGGCAGGTTTCACAGGAAAAGAGCAACACAACTTCACAATAGTGGGTGCAAGTCAAAGTGTGTATGTGTAGCAAAGTCAATACATCAGAATTTAGGGAGGATTATTAGTCAAAACTCAGTCAACTATCTAGTGTTCTGTAGTGGTAACAAAAAGCGCCAAATAAAGAAAAACAAGCCTTCATTTCACATGGATTTCAAAGTGAATAATTTGTGAGCCCACAGCCCACTGACTCTGGAATATCTTTTCTATTCGACACAAAGCTTATTTTAACTTCTCTTTGAATGCTGCTGAGGAATTGGCACCTCATTCACAGTACAAAAGAATGAAGAATGAAGCAGAAGGGAAGAAAAAAGAAATATAATTTTCTCTCCCCTCAAAATCAGGAGTTAGCCTCTGATCAGGGACATTTCAACATTACTGTTGGCTCCCTGCATTTGATAAAACATTGCCATGTCACTGACAGTTCACTTGACATTGCTTCCTCTCAACTTCTGACTAGAGCTGACTGAAAACCCCTGATTATGCCCAGGGTGCTATTGGGGAACCAAAAAAAAAAAAAAAAAAAAAAGCGCAACAAAACACAACAAAAATCCCCAAAACAACAACAACAAAAAAACCAAAACCAAAACACAACAAATATCTGGAACAACCAGAAATGTAGGTAGAGAATAAATCATCTGATAGTTATTCATGCTTTAGCAAGGACTGCAGATTGCTGTCTTGAACACAATCTTCCTTATAACATCAATTTTTGAATGCCTTTTGGGGCCTGCTTGCATTCAGTTTTAGAGTAAGTTAAGAGGAACAACTCAGAGGGTGTGCCTCTCTTGGCAGTCGCTACACATTCAAGAGTTAAGAGAGGAAAAAATAACACTTATTAGATCATTTTGTCCATCTTTCTGTCAGAGGAAGATAGTCCCCTGTAGTATATTTAAGTTCTTTGACCAGTCTAAGTTTTCATTATCTCCAAAAATAGAAATTCCACCCACCCCCTAAAGGGATCATTTTAAACTCTAGTAACACTCAGTTTTAGGAAGTTTTTGCTAAGTATTTGCTTTACAACTTTCTACTTTAAAGTACAATGCAAATTAACAAGATACTTTTTTAACAGTTTGCATCCCACTAACAGTTCTACACACTTCACCCCCTTTGGTTACTCAAACTTTTTTTTTTTTCTTCTTTGCTCAAATAACACAGTATTAAGTATGAGATCATTCAGGTTTTGTTAAGTATCTTATGGAAATAGAGCCTTGCTTGTCTGACCCAGAAAAATAAGTATTTCCACATGGAAAATATCACAGATTTTACTAAAAGCAAAGTACTAGGCATGCATATGGAAAATCCAGCATGTGTATATACAAAACTAACAATGGTTATTATTTTGGAAAATTTTATAGGAAATCAATATTGAGGAAGCTATCTGATGCTATTTCAAGTCCTCAATCACTGGAGTGCTCTAAGACTATTTTCAATAAGATGTTATTAAGAGCTTGATCATCCATTAAACAGGCAATCTGTAAACACAATTCTGATGCATCTGCCATAGTAGGTGTCACTGCTGAGCTCCTGCATGTCACTTAAGCATTTTCTAATAATGTGTCTTCTGTTTTGACTGAAGGACCACTGTATCAACCCTACCTTAATGAGATTTTTCTTGATGAATCTTAGAGATGTTTATTCTTACCAATCATTAAGACTGGACAGACAGTGCATGTTACCAATGGGGAGGATTCTAGCCCTCAGCCTCTCATGGGTTTTATTCACCTCAAACTCCATTTTCAGGGCTGCCACCCAAATCAGCCTCCTCTTGTTATGCTCCCTGTATTCCTTAGTATCTCTGTTTCTTTCAGCTTGACTCTTTCACAGAAAAGTGTGTTTTGAAGTTCTACTATCAGTTCCACTTAAGGTTAAAATCAGAGCCTTCCTATGAAAAAAGCACTGGTATCAGCAATTCAGAACAGGAGGGCATATACAAACTCAACTGTATTTAAAGAAGAAACCCACAGCCAGGGTGGCTGTTTTGCTGGCTCACCTGGCTTCTTAGGATTCCCCCCCCTTCCACCCCAGACTGTTGCGGGGATTTGGGAGCTCCCCAAGCTTAAAGTCAGGAAGCAGGGCTTTCAATTCATCTCTACCCTCTTACAGGCTGCACAAAAGTTTAAATCCTAGAATCCCATGGAATTAAGTTACTTTAAAAGGAGAGCTTTCATTCTTCTGCAACATTTGAAAGCATGCTTTTAAAAATAATAATAGCAGCAGCAGCTCTGTTGGGCTTCAAGGCTCTCACTCTCTGTAGGACTGTGGAAGTTTGTCTTTTTCTTATTGAAGCTGGAACACAAAGGAGAAATGAAATAAAAGCTTGCAACAGAAACAAACAGTCCATTCTTGGAACTGAATTTTTTGTAGCGGAGCTCCCTCTGCCCAGCCCTTCAGAGCCAGAGCAGGAATTTTTTCATATATTTCCATGACAAGTGTACAGTCCTTCATGTGATTGTTTTTACCTGCGCAACCTCTTCAAAGTCTTCATGGCGTTTCTGCAAAGCTCTAGCCCGATGCAAGGATTTTCCCACTCCAGTATGTTTGCTAAGAAAAGCTTCTCCATGGTTTTCAATCCAATCCAACACCTGTGGTACAGAAAAGAGACACACAAAAACTCTGAGTGGACCTTGCAACAAAAAGACAACTATTCAAGAAACTACAAGCTGTAAAGGGGCTGTTGGATTAAAACACAGTGTTACCATTGAACGACATGAATTACATTTTATTAACTTTTCTCAAGGCAATAACTAGCTTGAACTAGCTAAATCATATGATTTAATATTATATGTTTATTTTGAAGCCTAGCAAGGACAACTTCATTTCTACACATTCATCAATTTGACAGCAATCTGATCCAAGTGACTAGACCCCTTCTGAGCGTCTCTCTGTAATACGTTTATGGCTTCAGTTGACATTTTTCTGTAATGTAACACTACTGGAGTTTGCACATTCCCCAACAATGCTGGTAAATAAAACAGTGAAGTTTTATTTTAGATGAGAAGTCACTTCTCCTACATATTAAGTCGAGAAGAAAGATTCAGTAGTAGAATTTTTAATACAGTAAAATTGAGTTGAAATCATTATGACACAAATGACAATATCTGCATTCAGAGTATATGAAGGATTTTGTCCCAATTCTGAAGAAGCATCTCCTCAAAGCATCACATAGCCATAACTGTGTATTGTAAATTTTATAGCTGGAAAAGTGAGGAATGGAAGACATTTTAAGGGCATTAAAGCTTCTACCACAACAACTGTGCTGACAGCTTTATAAATAGTAAAAACTGTATGTGTAATTAGTTCCTCCCAGTTAACACAAAGGATTACTGCACACATACCAAGTTTCTGATGAGTGAACAAATGAAAACATCTGGTCTGTCTCCAAACTAATACATCTTAGCCATATCTTCATTCATTCATTAGCTAACTTGCATACGGTATTCAATTCTTTGGAAGATACTCAGAGGTTTAAGAATGCTGTTCAGAATTAAAGACAACTGCATATAAGCAATTTTCTTACGTCAGCTAACGATTTTTATACAGTATTTATGTAGTGGTGAGGAATACTTTACCTAATATTTATCTCCAGTGTTTGTTCTTCTTTAAAACCTGAGCATTTTGTATTGTTTTGAATATACCTGTCAGAAACCTGTATCTTATATCTCTTCTTATCTACTGGTGTCCTTTACATTCCTGAAGTTGGGTTTTTTTTCCCCCCCTTTTCCTGTACTGAAAGCATTTGACACTGAGTGTAACTAAAGACTTTTTTTTTTTCTTTCTTACTTCCAGAGTTGAAAGCCATTCCCGCAACATCACTCAAGGCTACATTCAATACACATGTAATCCCACACACTATTCCCATACAAAACATCCATGCTTTCTTTAGCAGAAAAATGAAACCATCTGGTGTGATTTTCTCACTTATCTTGACTGTTAGAATTTTTTTGGTCTGCAAACTCTTTCTTACTGGACATCTTCAAAACAACAAACAATCCCATAATACCACATAATACAGCCATCTCAAATCACCAACACTTCACTAAATCTCTGTACTTCAATTTGTGCAATGTTTGTTTTTCCTAGAAAGTATTGCCAAAAGCATATTATTGTATGTTAGGTCAATGTAAAGTTTCATTTGCTTCTTTCAAGGGAAGTATTGATCAGAGAAAGTAGAGTGAGCAGCTGAACATGGCCTCAGTTATCTGTAAAGTTTGTATTATCAATGCTTTTGATTAGTTTCAGGAGACTACTCTGCTTTTCTCATTATAAAAAGAACTAAAAAGAAACAAGTTTACCTGAGAGAATTAGACTGGACTCTGGAGACTACTAACAGTTACAAGCTAACAAATTAACTCAACAGCAAAATCTGTCCCAGAAACCATGGGATGAAAAGCAGAAAGCAGCCCAGGGAGAATGATTTTTGCTCCAAACAATGCTCAGTAACTTCTCAAGAGAAGAAATTGTTACAGAAATCCAGTACACAGATCATGACATAAACCAGGCAACTAGAGAAACATTGCTGCCTCTAAGTGAAATCAGTATGAATACAAGTCTTACAAGTACTCAGCCTTCTTATCTTGATTCTTCACAAAACCAAGGAAGCACTCTTTTATTCGAGAATTTCACAGCACATAAAGGCACAGTAAAGTCAAGGTTTGCTCTTGCCTGTCGGTGAGAGCTTTTGCGTACCACTTCAACCAAAGGACAACACCATTAGCTGGCACTGATATTAGCCATTTAGCAACTTCATTGATGCATCTTCTTCCTCTTCCTGGGAGAGGCAAGAGTTACAGAAACCATCATACAAACCCACTAAGGACTCCTACTAATGCTGAAAGCACACAGAATTCACTCTGGTAGTTCAGTAATACACAGGAGTTTAAGAGGCTCAATACTTGTCAGTGAAAGGGTGAATAATATTATCCTCCACTGCAGTAAGTTGCTTTAACAATGCAACTAAGCTCTAACTGCAGTCTCAGCAGAGTCATCCTTATGCCCACACAGGATCTAGAAAAATGTTTCTTTTTCTAGCACCAATACTGAATATATTATAGAAGAAGCAACTATGGAAACATAGCTTCATTTTGACAATTCATTGTTCATGGCTGTAAAATATGTGTTTTGCATATGTTGCTTGCAGAAATAAACAATCTGATCTTTTGTAGATTCAATGTGCTCATTTTCACTAGTCTTTCCCACATTATTATTCAGTCCTTACCCCCCACCCCTTTACTTACTTTGCACACGCTTACTTTTCTGATCTCCACCACTTACTTACTGCTGACATAACATTCAGAATGGGAAGATGGAAATCTCTGCATTTGTAGTCTTCAGATAGCTAAAATGTGGAAATATTCTCTCCTCAAAAGAACCATTTTACACTGGAACTGCCTCCAAAAGTCACAAGGGAATCACCCAGTGGCAAGTATTACGTTGATGCTGAGCAAGTAGCAAGCATTTTTGGCTCACTCTTCATTAGCCAAGGCTGAAACAAGTGCCTGTTACCACAAAAACTTGGATGGAGTCTTTGAGGCAGGCAGATCAAGGAAAGAGAAGCAGCATATTTATCCAGAACGGACAAAGAGAAGACTCTCAAGCTCAGTAAGACCTAATAAATACATGTTTTGGGGAAAAAAAAAACAAACCAAAACAAAAAAAAGAACAACAAACCATTACAAGAATGATTTACTAATCTCTGGCTTGCAAGCCATCAGGAGTGTTTTTCAGGCCCCAAAACTTTCACCACACAAGTGTCAGCAGTATCACTCTACCAGAAACATTATCTTCATGATCAATTTTGACGTTTCATGGCCTGGCAGCACAAAACCCCATGTTACTATTGCAAGTCTGCTTTATTGCCTCATACCAGAATCCTCAGTCACCTCCTTTCCTTAGATGAAAGGCTGGCATGTATTATCCACTTGGTATGCACATTAATTCTTAAACATAAAATTATACTTTTATTAGCATGTTTTACATTAGAAGGGCTATTTTCAACAATTGAATGTAATACTTAATGACCTGACATTTTTTTCCTAAATTAAAATAAACACCCTCTGGTTTTGGTGTTAATATACAAACTAATCAGGAACTAGATCTCTTGGCATGTTTCTGCTATCTAACATCAAACTCAGAATTCCATTCAGGTTCTGTCGTCACAGGTTTTCACATTTCAAATTTCAGATTTGCTGTAATTCACATCTTATCTACTACTCTTAATAATTCATGCGCTTCTTTCCTTACTATTTGCTCCAAGAAATTAGCAGAAGATTCTTGGCGTACACAGCTAGTACCACAGTGTTTTTGTTGATTTGGAAAGCTTCACTAGAAACACTTTCCCAATACTGATCATACAAGACAGAAGAAAAAAAGAAATCAGTTTTCTAAAGTGGAAGTAACACAAAATGAAGAACCAGCTCAACACAGCCAATTTCCTCCTCCAACTCAGCTCTGTCACTCACTTAACACTTCCATGAATTGATTTATTTCATTAATCCAGCAGAAAATGAAGCCAGCAGAGGGAAGAGGAGGAATTCAGAGTCATGCTGAAGGACAGTTATACATTCACTTACAATGCACTTGGTTGCTTGGCACTATGTACAGTTTAACTATATACAGTGGAAGAGCACTGCACTTAGTTTATTTTGACATTAAAAAAAAAAAAGAAAAATCCACATTTAACTTTACTGACAATAAAGACAAAAGGTTTTCATGCTAGTTTCTAAATCATGCTAGATAATCTTAGTTGAATTTTTTAAGGTTTGAGCAAAGACTAAGAAAGAAAGTGCAAATGAAAACTGAAGTATTTTAGAAAGTTGCTTTGGAGCTCTACATAAACCATTCCAGAATGGTCTTGCATATAAATTTAACGAATACCTCAAAACCAAGTAATTTCATGCACTGAATGGTGTCAATGGTTATTCAATTGAAGAGCTCACATCTCTCAAATAAATTAGTTGAACTGGTAAGGTTGTTCTGGTTTTGTTTTGCAAGAAAAAAGAATCCTTATTATTCAAGATCACTTTTTTCCCTGATGGGTTTTCAAAGCTGAGGGAGCTACAATCTGCCAAAACAATGCTATTTCAGGGAAATACTATTATGCACTTGCCACTATCTTTAAGGCACCTGCTCCTGACTATTACATTAATTTGTCTGGTACGGATGTTGAATTATCGTTGTCTTACAGCATGATCTGCGCTGAAATGTAAGTACGAAAAGTTGTCTTACGAAAGGGAACACTAACGACAATTTACATTGTGATTCATAAGGCAGTACCCGAAATACACCAATACCTGAAAGTTATGTAACATAACAGAGAGCTTTACTTCCACGTGCAACATTTCAGAATCCTCCAACGTGGATGTTAAAGGCCACTACTGGGATGAAGCAAAGGACAATCCAGTCTCTGGCAGTGATAACTACTGGATATTAAGGGAAGAGCTTAGGAACATGGCAAGCAGGGGCTGCATCTCTGTACATAAGATGTAGTTTGAAATCTAAAGTGGTTGATAAGGACATGCATTAGCACCAAAGGCTGCAGCTTCAAATTGTCAAAAGGATATGTTGGTATTGTAATGCAAGGTCTGCCTTGGAAAGCACACAAAGAAACCAGAAGCACAAACAGGAAGAAAGAAGCTTCTCCAATTAGTAGGTAAAGCATGTACGGAATAATGAGCCCAGACGGATTAACCCTCTTGAGCCAATTGGTTCTTACTGAAAACTTCTGGTATACTCACAATCCATGTGCATGATTTGGATAACATTCTTAATACTGGAAGTTATAAAAATAGGTAAAGTTGTCTATTCTTGTTCTCAAACCTGTGACTATTTGACGTTAAATGTACAGGGCTGACAGGTCTCACACAGAGAACAAAAATCCAGTTTCTTGCCAAAGAATCTGGTGGTGACTCTACAATGACTTGAGTCTAATGAAGGGTTATTTGCCAACTTCAAAGAACAAAGCAGTCTCAGAGCTAACTCCTCCGCTTCGAGAACCATGACTTAGGAAGAAGCAGAAAATGAGAATTTCTTACAAACATTTTATGACTCCCAAGATAATAAAGGCAAGGAGTAGAACAGCACAGTAAGATTCTCTGTAGCATTTAACGAACACCTTCGCGCAGGAAATAAACTGCCTGCAGCCTGGCCTACAGGCCTGAAACTTGAATTATATATCTGGCAAATAACCTCAGGAGATCACTTGGCCTAGGTTGCCTAAGTAGGTCCTACTCTAATTGAATTCAAAGTAGAGGAGAAAGTTCCAGGATCCAATCTGCACTTGTTGGCACTAGGTTACCATTGAGAGGACCTACATTTTTCCCCTAGGAGAAGCAAACCACTGTGTTAATTTCTGTTTCTGTAGATTCCTTATGGAGCCTTTTAAGTTTAAGAGGCGATTGGTTTGTGGGCTGTGCCTCCTCAATTTTGACAAATGCCCTTCACTGACTACTGATGCAAGTACCAGCACTGGACCCTCCTATCTACTATTTATGTAGTAATCTTGATGAAGAGCCTCTAAGATTTATATAATGGCAACAGTGTTTTCAGCTTGGTTTTCTATGCCCTTCCTGACCGTTCATAACATTGACTCTGCTTTCTTTTACTTTTTTTGTCAGTTAACATTCTTCGTGCCTTTCTGCATCCTTCATCACATCTGAGTGTTGAGAAGTTGGACAACTGCCTGCTTTTCAATATATGCCTCTTTTTACACAAAAAATTAAGTAATAAAGTCTTAATAATTTTACACTTAAATTACTGCTTAAAAAAATACTTGTTTCTTTAACTTACATGAAGAGATAGGCACTGTGTATAGAAGAAAGTTGAGCTAACAAGATTGCTCACTCTGCCCACCATCTGCCTGAATTAAGTATCTTTTTCAACTACTGTAAATGACGGAAAACCGGTTATTTCACTCCCAACTGCTCACATCCAGCATCTTCTGGAAACAGGTAAGTACAAGAAATTTGGCTTAAAGCGCAACTAATTTGGAAGAAACAACATTAGTTTAACCAGAATGTATGACTGGCTATCCAAAAACCCCATTCGGAAGTTCGTGATTTGTGAACACCTTTACATTGAAATGAGAGAATATGATCAGCAAATACTGGCCATCTTTACTTTTTTATGAGGACGAGCTATTAAGTGACAAATTACTAATGTCTCTGTCAACTGTAGCCTAAGGCAAACATTTTCTGTTTATTAAAAATCTATCAACAAAAGAATTCTGTACAGCTTTACCTTTTTAAACTAAAGGTATGTCAGCGATATAAATGCCTGAACTTAATTACTAACTTTTATGGATGTCATCATCAGAATGAAAATATGGCAGTCAATAACTATTAATCCAAGAACAGCGTCACTGTCAGAAAGTAATCTTATCCGTAATTTTTATACCTCTTTAATATACTACTCTCAGGTTTTAAAGAAACTTGATTAAGTATAACTGAGGATTTGAAACTAAAAGTTTGTTACAGAATAACACTGTTAATTTCTTGCATGTTACTCCTAGAAGTTCTTCTGACATTTCAAACCCAGAATTTTACCTAGACTGTGAATGTCAGCTTCCAGCACAAGCTCAGAATAGCTGTTTATAATAAAAGTCTTTTTCATCCTGACTTTAAGTAAAGAAATTAATTTAAGAAAAAAAAATTAAGTAGAGCTAACTTATGAATATAATTTCTACCCATAATAGCCAGTATCCTCTGATAACACACAAAACTTGGAATCAGTAATCCCATGCAACTATTCAATTGTTGAACGAAATAACATGGGGTTTAGGAATCAAAACCCACCTGTCAATGCAACCAGCTTCAAATCACAGGCTGACAGAGTACAAAGGCATTTAGACAACATGAAAGAAAACCTACCTGTTGAACATCCTGTTGAAAAACGCACAGTTGAAGCCGCTGGTGCAAGCGGACCTTTCGATGCTGCCAAATATTTTCCAGCTGGCGCTGGTGGTGCAGTACTTCATGGATGACATCCAGAACATGATGAACTGCTTTTGAGTAGTTGGCAGAAGCGGTGAGGGAATCAGAACTCCCAGGAGTCAAAGGTCTCTGAAGTTTGTCAAGCAGTGACTTTCCATCTTGGCTCACCTGACCACCAGAAAGGACGAAGAATTACCTGTCTTGTCAAAAGCTCATTAGACTATTATTTAATTCCCCACTCCCTCTCCCCCTCTCCCCATTTTAGATGTCTTTAAGAACTCCGTGAACAGTGATGAAGATTTTTTTATTCCAGGCATGAGTACATGCAGCTGTTATGGGGGGGGGGGGGGGGGGAGAAGACTTCCCCCACCA